TATCACATTACACGGGTTAGGGTGAACACATTTCACATACAATTACTCTATGACGTCCTCCTGTTTTCATATTCCTCATCATATTTGTTCACTGGTGATATTGCCTAATTGGTTTATCTTTTCTATTCATCACCGCGAGCTTCATGAAAAGTCAAATCTACTATCAATGAGCCGAATTTCTTGAATCACACGCATTTTGCCACGCAGATTCAAAATATTCAGAATCCCATTTTTAAAAATCTAGTCTCTTAGGTAGCTTTTTTTTACAAGATTTCGCCTAATTCCTGAGGCCAAATCAAGCTGAACCAGGCCAATCTCGAGAATATGATTGGGTCGCCCGAATGTAGACGAGGCTGTACGATGTGTCGCCTGCGTTTAGACAAGCCTCTCCTGAAAGGGAAGAAGTGGGAAACTGCCTTCGAGGGGCATTTCCTGAAAGCCAATCTAGGCTCACCGAAGCCGTCAAGAGATGCAGTTCGAGACGAGACCGAAAGGTCAGCATGGCCATATGCTTGGCCTCCTGCCCCGGCCCTTGGTTGGTACCACTTTCGCCCCACCCCCTTTCCAGCCATTTCCCACATGACAATCGCTCACGCAACCTGGGGCTGGCCATAAGAAGACAAATTTACCCAACTCAGAGAGAGGTCTGTCGATTCAACTCTAACTGCAGTGGTCGTTGACTTTCACATAAAAGTAACCATTGTAAAGGTGGCAAACTGTCCACTAATCAAACCATCAAAAGGTTCAGAACCCGCCGCACATATACACATACATACACACACATTGCTTCAATTCACACCTCGCAAGTCTGAGCAAAGAATACATGTGTAAAACAATCATGTCACGGTCGCATGACCATTTTGCCCGGAGGGCTGGAAACAAAGCGATCGTATGTGATGCTCTGTCGCCCCCTCTGTAACGTTAAAGCAGAAAATCACACAACAACTGGGCATTCACAACCGGCCACTGGGTAACCCTTGCCCCGGCACTAACAAATTCGTGTATGGGCCATGTCCAGCCTCCGACCTGCCACGTGGACACATGAGCCTAGACCCCGTTGGCCGTCTTCTCCTCGGACGTGAACGAGGAGACAAGGTCGCAACTCACGCTCGTGTCTTGAAAGGAGGGCTTGTCTTTGACACGAAATCATCGGATTGCTGAAGTGGCCGTTGCGAGGGTGCTTGTTTGCTCGGGAGCTGGAACTCGGTTGACGTGTCGTCACGGCTGCGTCGTGGCATGGGAACAATTGGACATTGCACCTGTGCCGAGGCTGTAGGAAGCAACCTGCACAAGGGTCAATTCGGCAGGTATGAGGTCCAGAACTGTCAACATTTCTTGGTTTCCAGTCAGAGTCTGCTGTCTTGCATAAAAAGAGGTCTATGCCGGCCGTGATGCGAAATGAAGTGGGTTCGAGTCCCGTCAGCGGCGTTGACGAGACTCAGCCGAGGTCTAATCTGCAGGACAGTTTCGTGCAGATAGACGAAGTAGCCTTAACACAAAGGAGCAAATAGTCTTGACGCCGCTTTAGAAGAAACCGTCCTAAAGTCCCAAAGTTGACCAGACCACCAGAAATGTTGTATATGCTAAGGAAAGTTAGGCTTCGAGGAATATCTTGTTTCATAATTGTTGAACTTACTTCCATTTCGAGTGAAAGTGTTCGGTGGAGCAATTCAAAGGTTGATACCACCAGAAGACGACGTCAGATTGCTCTTGATCAGCTGTCGGTTGGATTTACTGGAGCATTCTTGTTGATGCTGTTTTAAAGACAATCTCCAGCGATTTCGGTGAAAACTAGCTAATCTGTCGTCCATCGTATGACAAATGTCATCAGAGTAGGGTATCATTCCTACGACCATATTCAAGTTAACGTGCATTCCATGATAAGCCAGTGAGTTTGTTGACTCTTTAGCTTGAATATGGTTGTAAGGATGGTATCTACTCTGCTCTGATGATGTCCGTTATACGAAGGGCAAAAGCTTAGCACGTTTCCACCGGAATCGAAGGAAATTGCCTTGGAAACAGAGTCAAGAGGTATCTGCTGTCATCTTCTGGTAGAACCGACCGTCGAATCTCTTAATCAAGCACCTTCACTCGAAATGGAAGCAAGCTTAATAACTAGAAATGTACATTGCAGATAGGAAGATAAACTGGGTTTTGATGAATCTTCTGAGATAACATTGTTGTGGGGACTTTCATTTCGTATGAAAGTGCATGAAGAAGAGATTCGTTGGTCGATCTCACCATAAAACGACGGATGACTCGTGTTGTACTGCAGCCGTTTGGCTTTCATACGACGTTCAGGTTGACGCAGTCCACGAGACCTCCTCCCTCGTTTCGGATGAAAACCTTCTGAGCTTTCGTCCATCATTCAATGGACATCATCAGAGCAAAGTCTTATTCCCGTAAAAGTCTCACGTTAACACTGGGGCAAGAAGACAAGTACAACGGGATCCATCCGTCCTGTTCTGCTGAGATCGACCAACGAACCTCTTCTTCATTCACTTTCATACGAAATGAAAGTCTACCAACGCTTTGAGGATTTGGCATTGTCAATGCTCAAACGTAATTACCACAGACATAGGCTTCAGACCCAGACTTTTACCGCCAAACTTCTAATGGAAGTGTACAATCTTGCCTAAAATATGGCATAGTTTTTTCCACCACAACTAAAGAAACGCATGTAATGGGCTCGAGACCTCCATGGTAAAGCAGAGGAAGTGTTTGTCCGAAGAGTGGTAAGCGATATTTCAATGGCATACACCAATTGTCGTCAGGTCTCCGAGTCAAGTCCTAGCCAATTGCCGGTGGCTAAGGGATCGAGGATGAGCAAGAAAATGACTGGTTTTACTGCTCTACCTCTAGGAATTTGGCTGACAACTGGAGAAAACACTTAAAACTTAAGGACTTGCCTGAAAACATGTTGATCATGCTACCTGGCAAGTTGATAAACGAACATTTGGCTTGGGTTTAACAGGACCCTTCGACAACATCGCCCAAATGCCAAAGACAAGAACCAGTCTGATGTAGCTCAGACTGTGAAGGATGAGCTAGCCGAAAGGAGGCAAACAAGAGACTGGATGTGAGAGTCTTGTTTGTATCCACTTTGTTCCCTAAGACTGGAAAAACTCGCTTTCCAAGACGTGATTTTTACATAATCCCATATACACGATACGATTGAATTTCGAATTGGCCTGCCTACCAGAAGGAATTTTCATCTTGGTCAGGCCCGTCAAGCCTACTTAAAAACGAAAACTTGTATATGTCGTTATACTCGATGAAGCTATTTGTTACCAAGAAAGTAGGTCTTTAGAGTGTCAATCCTTTCATCAGCTTAAGTTCTTATTCAAGAAGTTATTTAATAAAAAACGACGAAGCTGTGTATCGTCCATCTTGCACAAGATCTTTAATTCATGGGAATAGGGAAAGCATTTAAGGCTGTATTGCTTTGCGATGCCGACTATGATTTAGATTTAATGTCTATAATTGTACTCAATCAAAGACCAATTATAGAAGAAAGCACTCAATAATGGAGGGGTAGTTGAAAAAAAATGTCTGGTTCATGAATTGAGTCTAGAACGACCCTGCTCTAGTGAATGCTTGATTTTTGTGCTAAATTTTACTTCGTAGTCACCCCAAAATAATTCAAGACTATACATAAATCTGATGAAATAGCTGCATTCACTATAGGTTCTCGAAAGCATACTTATTCATTAAAAATAATTGATTTAGTCGATTGTTATAGCAATAATATATATATTTTTATTTTTATTTTTTTCGTTTATTACTTGTAAGTATATTTAGTATGTAAGTAATAACTTGTTATTCTTCTTGACTTAGTGCTAACTGTAAGCATTTACAAGGATGAGCTCCAGCTCTAATTGTCTGTTAGTCATCACCCAAACCGAACAAAGATGTCTCATGGACTGCATCAGCGTGGAATTAAACCAATTGCATGGTTATGATGGTCAGTCAAAAATATACGTACGTTGGTTGGGATGAGAAAGAAAACAGCAAAATTTAACAACGGAATAACAACGGACATCAGCCCTTGTCTTGGGATGAGAAGGAGATATGAATCGCTCTATAAGCGGAAGATATCAAAATGGCTTTACTTTTTGGCAGAAGTGATCTCAAGCACACCGGAGCTAGTATTTCACACAAAGTCACATAAAAGGCTTACATCAAAATAACTTTTACAAACACTTTTGCCCCCTCCCTCTTCCTCTAGAGTGAGTCTCAGCCTTGGTTGAGGCATTGCGAGTTACCTGAAAATAACGGGTGGACGATGCAAGTAGTCTGAAATTGATATTCGTACTGAGTAAGTAGGCATTCGAGAATCATAGTAGGTATTGAATTACAACTATTGTTACCCTAGGTCGTTTAGGGTGAGGATTATAACTTTTCCCACAATGATTTAAGTATGCCTCAAGGTGCCATTCATTTTCACTTAAGCAGCTATTATAATCATTAAAGTAGTGTGATTACTATTTCTTATTTTTCGTATTTAAGAAGAGTTTCGAGACTACCAGTAAATCAGTAATATGAGATGCATTCATCCAATTTTGTTTAAGGAGATGAAGGACTGGTATTGTCCTTCATCACCTTAAACGAAATTGGGTGAATACATCTCATATTACTATTGCTTAGATTGCTCGGAGTAATTGGGAGACCCCGTAAAACGTACTAGGTCCTGCACCGTGTGCCATAGTAGTTACGATAATTTCCAGCCTCTGACCGCAGAGTTGGTATATTCATGGACATTTCGCCGGGTTAGTAGTTGACATTGTCCTTAAGCCACAATTCGTGATAGGTACAGAGCAAGCTTACCGACACTTTATGGAATATCTCCTCCACTCTATTCTCATTCCCCAATTTTTATTACTATATTCTGGGTCCCTCTGTCACTCAAACCTAGTTTCGAAAACAAGGTCAGACTACAATTGTACAGCAAAAGAAGAGTGAAACCAGACCTAATACCAAACTATTTTTGTTTTCATATCTACGACTCAAAACTGTAATCAAGGGTATGGCTGTGGAAAGTCGAAAAACCCTAACTGGACCATTTCGTTCATCACCAAGACAACAAAGTATTTTGCTTAATGTAAATAAACTGAATATTAGTCTTCTATTGCCTCCGAGGTTACGGGACAAAGGTCATATTCTTATGTGGAAAAACGGACTCTACTAAATTCTTCCAGGCTATTTGATTTGGAATGGGCATTGAATCGATTCTCTGATCCGTCATGTCACTTTTGTCGATTAGGCACCTCCTCAAAAGCATCATAGTTTCTGGAGCCTCAATCCTTACGACACCTATTTACGTATCCCCATGGCAAACGTCGTCAAAGCAGCATCCAATCGTCATCTCAATTCAACCCTCTGGTACGGGGCGATTTTCCAAAAATTAAACCTCGAAATGAGCCAACATTTTGGAGACATATCTTCGGACGATATCCTTCAATAAGCGCCAAGTTGAAATAAACGTTATGGCATATGAGATAGTATTGTATATGATAGTCTCGAAGCACTATTAACAAAATAAAAACGCTCTAGTGTCCTTGAGTAAGAGCCCGCATCAGTCTAGGTTGTTTGAGATGAAGTAAGGACTGATACTTTAAGGCCTCACTGAAAAATGAGAAAATTCAAGAGATAATTGAATTTCATCTGACCCTGTCCACAAAATGGCTTTCTTAGCCGTGTTGGATCTCAGTTTCCACCTTGCCTATGCCTTAGCAACACTCCCAGCTGGACTCTAAAACAGATTATACCATTGCTTGTGGTAGCACTTCACCGGTTTATGCGCACAACCCGGTCTCGAATCCCACTAGCGATATTGGTGAAGTCTGTAAATTCATTGGCACAATTAGTCCTACTCTCCTCGTTATGGGAGTACTACCCTACCTGGATTTGAATCCCGCTGGAGGTTTAGATTGGACGTGAGCGGGTTGGGAGCTGGATGAGAATATAGTTTGGGAAGCAGGACTAGTGACATTTAATAGAAACGTGAGGCCTAATCCAGCCAAGGTGAAAAAATAAAACTACGAGTCGTCCATCATCTTGAACGAAACAGGCTGAATACGTCTTACATATACTTGAGATTTAATGGCGAAAGGAATCCTATTTCTTGCATTGTAGGAATTTCGACAATCCGTCATCACATCTTCTTAGGCGACCTTGACTCATACATCTTTTCATTGAGTTTAATATCATAAATCTCCAAGTGGCTAAGAAGCAGAGTCGGCTCAGTGCCATTGTGTACACACAAGCGGAGTGATTGATTGCGATGCGCTTGCATGTAAACTTATATTATTGCGAGTGGAAGGATGATACAATATGCACGTCTTCACCACCATTTTAGCACAGAAAGAGAAGCTGGGGGAGTGCTTGAAGTGGATGAGCCAAAGTTAGCTAGAGGTTTGAATTTTCCTGAATTTGTTAGAGTGTGCCCAACTCGAGAAATGACAGACTTGGCAAGCAGTTGGGATGTGAACGGAAAGATAAAATGCTGTCATTTGAAAACGCCAACTGGATTTCTTAGAAGGACAACCATAATGACACTTTTAGGCCGTTCGTAGGCGGGGGGATTCATGTGGAAACGTGTAAGTGAAAGGCTTTGGGGGCTTTTCTAAGGCGTAGTGACCCGCAAGTGAAGTGAGCCAACAAGGATATGGCTCACGACAAGAACAAGAAAGCCCATCTACCAGAAGTAACCACTAATTGGTTTAAGTAAGATTAGAGTATGGTGAAACCTTTCGGGCCATTGAATGACCCGAAAAAAGGTATTTCTAGAGTATTTTTGACCATAGCTGTGTGTGGAGGATAACTTATTCTTCATCTTGCTTCC